GGCGGAACAGCGACCCCGGGCGGCGGGAGGGCCCGGGGGCGGCCTGGGGGGGTGAGGTGGGTCTGATCCGGGCCCTGCACAGGCAGGGACACCTCCCGCCATTCCAGGCTGCTCCAAGCCCCATCCAACCTGCCCTTCAACACTGCCAGGGATGGGGCAGCCACAGCTTCTCTGGGCAACCTGGGCCAGGCTCTCACCACCCTCACAGGGAAGAATTCCTTCCTGATGTCTCACCTCAATCTCCCTCTTCCAGTTTTAAACCCTTCTCCCTCATCCCATCCCTCCCTGCCCTTGTCCCAAGCCCCTCCCCAGCTTTCCTGGAGCCCCTTCAGGCACTGGAAGCTGCTCTCAGGTCTCCCTGGAGCCTTCTCTTCTCCAGGCTGAACACCCCAACTCTCCCAGCCCGGCTCCAGAGCAGAGCTGCTCCAGCCCTTTGATCACCCTCATGGCCTCCTCTGGACTCTCTCCAACAGCTCCATGTCCTTATTGAGTTGGGGACTCCAGAACTGGACGCAGTTACTCCAGGTGGGATACCACGAGCGTGGAGCAGAGGGGCAGGATCAGGTCCCTCAGCCTGCTGGCCACACTTCTGATGCAGCCCAGGATGCAGAAGGTTAAGGAGGAAAGGTCCACAGCAGGCACTCCCAAGTTCTCAATGTGAAGGTGAAGAAGATCTGTGCAACTGCAGTGAAGGGTAGGGTGTGCTTAAGCTCAGAGGTGTGTTCACTACCCACCAGTCTTTTACACTTTAATCAATTTTATACTTTTGTAATAGAAGAAACTTCTTTCAGTAGCTGTCAAACTCTTCTTTTATTATTAAAACTTTGTGTGTGCATTTAATGAATTTGCAGACACTACTTAAAGTGCCTAGAACTTCCATGGGAAGTTGCTGAAACACATTTATCTTGAACTACCAAAAAAACCCCCCAAAACCACAAGTAAGCATCATACTTTATTTTTTTTACATTCATCATAAATAATGTGTAAGTTTGTTCATCTTTCAGCTTTACATGATGTTGTAAGGACAATATATTACACCAGAACAAATTAGATAGAAAAAAATAATAATATACACTTGTTTTCCTTTATACAGAAGTAATTTGTCACGAAGTGACAGCATCTGACAGCAAACAGGAGACTTCACAGGTAAATGATGGAAAACCTGAGAGACAGTGATGGCCTTTGCTGAAAGTAAACCCAAGTATTTTTACTTTTGATAGATCCAGACTGTCCCCTGCTCTCTCATATATAATCTGGCTAAAATATCTTACAATCCATTATTATTTTTTTCTTTTTTCAATCAGAATGCAAAAAAACTAATTTTTCATTGTATTTTAAGTAGTAGTTGGACAATATGTGATAATATATGTATTTAAATAATTCTAAGTTGACCAGTAGCATTTCAACTGTGGGACTTTAGTACACATAAATTAACCTGGAGGGGTCTCTCTTCTTCCAAAACTTCCCACCCTAGGTATCTATGTGCCTTTATTTTCACAGTGCTTCATAAAGAAAGAGTTGAAAACACCTTCTACTAATAAAGTAGTTACTATCTTACTCAGCAAGACCCTTTGTATGAATGAGGTCTAGAAATTCAGTGACTTTTGACTGGTACAATTACATACTTTGGTATCTTTAAAATGCCTATACTGCATAGGAGACATTTATGCACAAAAGACCACTGATGCTTAATAACTGACATGTCTTAATGCTTATTTTCAGTAGCCTGGACTTTGTAAAACTACCTGCTTATCTTCTGAGCTGACACAGTGAAACAATGAGCAAGGTGTGAGCAGCACTACCACCTTTCTCTGTCTGCCCTCCATTTGGGAAGGGGCTGTCCTGAATTGTCCCTGTAGCAACAAAAACAGTACAGAAAGGCTCTAGGACATGTCATCATTTAAAAAGGCACTTCTGAAAATTAATTAACAATTATTCCAGTGAAATTGGGAGTTTTGTCTAAAAAAAATACTTACTAAACATTTTCCTCCTCCTCTCTCCTGTGGTTAGGTTAGTTTTTTTAAGCTAAGTGAAAGAGAAGTAGAACAAGGTGAGAAAGGAAGAAGTCCCTTTTCTCCCTTCTGTTCCAACATCTGGGCTCCCTTTTTGGTACTGTGCTCTAGAAACATCTGTGTGTTTGGTTTATAAAAACCTGGTGACTACCAGGAGATTAAAAGAATAAGTAGCCTAGCCTTTAAAAGCAAGTAAGGTGACATTAAATTCCACAATAGTTGCAGTGAAGTCCTCGTTCCCTCTGCTCTGTGTTCAGACTTTGGTCACACAGTGAGCATTACAAGTAAACCTAGGTCAGGATACGAAGGAGTGTTAAAATGTGCAAGCTAATAATATTTTACCAAATCCAGTTCTGATCATCGGAACCTTATATACATGATTTCCTGGAAGCATTTTCCAATTCCTATTTCAGGTTTCAGGGTGAGCTCAAGTGCCCTGTTGCTGACATGCAGCCCTGGTGCCCAGACACAAGATTTATTAGAACTGTTGCCACGTACTGAGCAACACTGAAAGACAGATCTCCCTTCAGTCTTTTAAAAGAAAGCTCCACTTTCTGTCAATGCATTTGGTTTATGTGACAAATTTCAAATGTGTGAGAAAGTTCTTGCAGCCTGTGAAAAATGGGATATGTAAATCCTTAAGCTTGAGATGACTTTGAGAAATATCCAGTAGAGGTGTTTAGAATAGCACAGCAGTGGAAGAATTTATGAGGACTTTGTGATACTTCAGGGTGTTCTTCCATGCCTGTATTTCCATTTCCACTCTATTTCCTGCACAATGCAACAGAGGAGGAGAGGAGGCGATACCCTGTGTGTCTTGGTCAGTCCCTCAACCCTCCATCTGGGAGATAACCCCATGGGCATCAGTGTCAATCCCTCCAGCCACATGGTCATCAGTACCAAGGGAAAGTAATTTTCCATGGGGTATTCCCCAGCTTTTGGGCAGTGTGATCCCAGTTTCTGGGAGACTTTTGGCTCATTAAAACCAGTGTCAGACTTGTGACTTTGCTATTGGCCGCCGAGACAAAACATCTCAGCCTTTCCCCCTGCATTCCCAGTTTGTGGCTATTTACAGAGGTCCAGTTTCAAGTATTGCCAGTATGGCCCCTTTAGCTACAGGGTTTCCATGTGTCTTACTGGTCTGAGGGAGGCATGGCAGTGGTTGGGCATTCTGACTGTCTGCTGGAATCAGCTCTGTACAAGCACCTGAGCTTGCACACTCT